AGTGTCTATGTGCATCCCAACTAGAAGAAACACAAATGTTCAGAGGATTTTGCCAATGGCACTTTGAGTGCTGGAACAGAAAAAGGATAGCAGTAGCGTATGGATCTTGGACTTGGCACTTAAATGCAGTGAAGTTCTGAAGCATCCTCAGGTGATGACAGATTACAGTTGCTTTGAAGTTTTGTACCTTCTCCCTCTTTCTCCATCTTCAGAGATACTACTTGCTTTCTTACACACCTTGTTTATCTGATGTGACTCCACCATAAGCTCTTCAATGTGAGAATTGCCTTTTGCTACAGATATGTGCTAAGCACTTTGGGAACTTGGCTAGCAACATTTAGCAGTCTTACAATCTAAAAATATTCCCTCTTTTTCCCTCTTTAAGAGACCTCTGTTAAAATATGGGATAGACATTGTAATGTCAGTTAATTACATTGCAGTTCAAATCCTGTACATTTTTTGTCAATTGACCTTCATTATATCATCAGAAGCACCTTTTTTTTGTTGTTGTTTCTACTTATTGTGAAAACTACCCATGCATGCATTCTTATACTACAGTTGGTACCCTGGGTCTCCAGGGAGTAGGAACTGTGTTTCTTGTTCCATGACAGTCAGACCTTCAGCAGTAATTAAAATGAATACGTTTGTTATGGATAAACCATTTATGGAAATGTGATCTCATCTTGGCATTTGAAAGATAATGCAAGCCAATTAAAACATTGTGGAGGTTGTGCGACTTTGAAACTATCTCTACAGTCATGTAAGTTTCTTCTTTTTTTTTAAAAAAAGAAAAAAAAAAGTGTGTTCTAGAGCCCATACCAATTAAGATCTCATCACAGTAACTTACAGTAGAAGCTGATTTTCAGTTTCATTTTGTACTGAAGATGTTCCTAGGAATTGCTTTGTAGTTTTGTTTCTGCTTCCACTACCAGTGTTTGCAAAAACAAAATGTCATTGCCCAAGAAAACCTATCTTTCTTTTCTTTAATTTTTTTAAATACAGACTACTTGAGTTAGTGTCATGAGTAGTTAAGCAGCCTATGGGATATACTGTCTGGAGACTCAGTGTTTTTAGTGGATCTGAATTATTAAGTTTGGTTTTGTTTGTTTGATTTTAATCCCATTTTTCATCCAGTACTCTAAAAGAGAAGCCTGCTGTCTTCCTGTTTGTTCCACATAAATGGGAAGACACGTGAGTTGAGTGTCTGGAGCGTCGCCAAGAGTGTAAATGAGCCCTGCAGCGGCGCTGATGGAAATCATAGCTGAGAGCAGTCATGTGTGTTGGTCAGAGACCATCTTTCACATCTCACAAATGATTTGTGAGGGAAGATGGTAGCAAGTGGAGTGAGCCAAGAATATGCTAGCTGATAACTTGTTATGCTTCTGTCATTTGATCACATCAGATCATATGCCCTTTCTCTAGCTAGTAGGTTCTCAGATCTCATTTTATACAAGGAGTAGCAGTCAAAAGTTAGCAGTCTTTTTGCTGAAATTCCTATTGCTTCATAGCAAGGTTTTGATCATCACTTCCTTATTGCGCTTGATAGCTGACTTTTCTATCATTCACCTGTTACAAGCAAGTTATTGGCACTTGTGACAGAAAGGATTAGACATGTATGTGCTAACTTTTTACAGTTCAGCTCTATAAAGGTGGGAAATTTAAAAAAAAAAAAAGAAAAGAGGGAGGGGGAGAAGAGATTTTGAAGAGCAAGGGCTTGTAAGAATGCCTAGGCTGCTGTGTACTTCCATGTATTGTAGTGTATGGCTTCCAGGTTTTGATCTGTGGAAAGCATTAGGTATTAAGAAGCTGTACGAAGCCAAGATGGAACAAGAGAGCAGAAAATCACATGAAGCAAATGAGGTTTTACAAGCAGGGAAAATCGGGACACGCAAACCGCTGAATAAGATTAGTCATGGGCCTGGCTGTCCATCTTGGTCTTAGCATGATAAGAAGAGATTTGTCAGTGGGAAGTGACTGTTGTCTGTCTCTGGGTTTATGAACTGTATGCTACAACTGTGTTTCACTGAGCAGTGTAAGGAGAGTGCAAATCACCGTTTTTCCTTAAGTACTGAATATACATTTTTTTTAGCCAGCTACTGAGCTCTGACAGCTATTAGAAATGTCAATAACGTTTCAGGGTAGTTAATAGCTGGTGGGGCCCAACAGCTGGATGAGAGGCTGACCAGTAGTTTACAATTCACTTAGTGCCAGACAAAATTGTTCGGGTTTGAAGTTTTAAATTCTGCAGGTATAGGCTGAGCAGCAAATGGAAATTAACAACCCTTATATCTTATGTACTTATTAACCAAATGAGATTATTGAGGGTTTTTATAATTGACTGTTGCTTTTCAGCTATTCTGTAGGATTTGTTCTGTGGACAGGAAGAAAGGTATCACTGTTCCTCGTCACTGGCACTTGTCTATGTGCCAGCAAATGCAGCAGATTGCAGAGTAGTTTGCAGAGTTCATGTCAAGAAATACAAAGTGCAGCATTCTTAATAATTTGTAATGAGAAACAGATTTTCTTCTCTGTCAAGTTCAGGTGTTAGTGCTCTATAGCTTGTATCTCTCCCTATAATTCTGAGGTAGGCTGTGTAACACCTTTAAGATGGGAATATCATTTTGCCCATTTCACAGAAAAGGGAAACTATGAAGAAGAAAATTGGTTCAGAAACTTTGCTTTGCTCTAAAGCTAAATACTAAATATCTGAAAAAAAGATTATAGTCCAGGACTGTTGTAGTTCAGAAGAGTAGCACATCCTTCTCTGTTCTCTCTAGTATTTATCCAAATTACTCAGCTTCCATTTATGAAGGACAGGGAGAGAGTCAGGGCAAAATAACATATAAAGACAAATGTAAAAGTGCCATTAGTAATGGTTGTCTTGGGATACTATTTATAGCAGAAACAATTTTCTGTAAGAATAGGATCAAGCTCCTGACTGGCATTTTATTTACAAAACAAAGAAGCAAACAAAAAAATCTTGGAATAAGGTGTGACAACCTGTAATGAAATACAGTTTTTCTGCTGAGAAAAACATTTGTAAAGATGCAGCACGTTTCAGTGCATAGAAACTTTTCAGTCTGACTGTCAAAATGCAAAGGTGGTTATTTATGTCCTTCTCCAGAAAAACGGCACGCTCATCTGTGGACAGGCTCTTCTGTCTGTACCTGTAAGAGCAAGTAACTAATGCTTAAAGTTTCTCTTGTATGGAGAGTTCAAATTCCCCTACAGTTATTAAATGCCTGCTTACCAGTAATGGATTTTTTTGCCCTCTCTGGAGGGGGAAATAACTGCAGAGAGGAGTGTTCTCCCAACCAGAGATTCAACAGTAATGATGGGTGTTCAGTGGCTGCAGCATGCTAAATTGTGCTGTGTTAGAGTAGTCTGCTTCTTTTAACCCACAGATCAGCATGTTTTTTGTCCTTTATGAAGGCTCTGAGATGGTTCTAGAGATCATCATACAGCTTGCACCTGAGAGGTGATCTAGGTTGCTGCTTCAAGTTGTTACAATTTTCTACTGTTCCACTGTAATGTGGAAACTGCACAACAAAATAAAAGGACAGAAAAATTATGTTTTTACAGGAACCTAAGGGCAGTAATCTCCCAAAACATGCATCCGTTTGCCTCCTTTTTTCTGTTTGTTTATTTGTAGGCTCTGCTCAGACACACTGTGGCAAAGTTTGTTTTGCTTTCTAGTCTAAGGAGATTACCCCAGGGTGTTATGTATTAGTAGCTGTCACAGAACCTAACTGTAAAATAAAAACCTAGTACCACTGAGAATCGTGTAATAAATAAAAGAAATGGTTAACAGTCAGTAATACTAACTTAACTGATGCCCCAAATTTCCATGTGAAGCGGAGAACTGTAGTTCTTAGGTGCTGAGGAAGTTGTAGGGACCGATACATTAGTGTTAGTGTGATTGATACTTTTCCTGGTATGCTTACCCCAAAAAACTCAGGCTATTTCAGACCAAGCAAAGCATAAATTCCAGCACTGGAGGGATTTTATGTTTTGAACAAGAGAGAGGATGGTAAGTAGCTCAGACTCTCTCAGTCTTCCATGGGGCTGGAGCGGTTGGAAAGGGAGAGGGGAGGGAGGGAGGACATCTCCAGATGCTAAAGGCATTGCACCACAGCACATCTCACTACATTTCCCCACTCGCCCACCACACCACCCTCTGGTAGATCACATCAAATTCCCACTCCTCTTCAAAGTAAGGTGTTGGATGGGGCTTTTAGTTCTTATTCCTCCTGCTGAGTTCAAGACAGGACAACCCTTCCCTCATGAATTGGAGCTTACAAATTGTTTTTTAGCTGCTCGTTATCAAGTGACTATAATACACTTACTGAAAATATCCTAGGCTGGGAAATCCTCATGTCAAACAGTTATTAATGGCTTGTTTCACATAATACATATGTATCTGTGTCACCTAAGTAATAACTTGTATTGTATGCATTTTTTCCTTCCTCCTTTGTTATACTGATAGAAATGAATGGAAGGACTGTTTATAAATCATGCAAAGCTCGTGGATTAAAATATGGACCAGCCGGGTTAGCTCAGTTGGTTAGAGCATGGTGCTAATAACGCCAAGTTCACAGGTTCAATCCCTGCTTACTGCAGGGGGGGTTGGGCTCGATGATCTCTCAAGGTCCCTTCCAACCCAAAGCATTCTATGATTCTATGATTCTATGGATGGATTCCGGCTATTGAGTCCAAGGCCAAGTTGATCACTGGATTGTCTTTCCTTCTGTGGTCAGACGTAGGAGACAGCAATAAATAATCCATTGAGCTGTACCTCTGGGGCCAACAGTTGCATCTTCTCAGGAGGAAGCAACTTGATTGTTCTATCTCCTTTATCCCAGTAACAAGTGGTGCTAAGAAGCTTCTGATGTCTGGTCTAAAAATGGAAGTAGCTGTGGCTAAAAGCATGTGGGTGGGGAAGGGAGGTAATAACAGATGAATCTTAATTTTTTTCCTTCTTCCGTCTCTTTCAATTCAAGGTCTTGCTCTGTATAACATATACCTCCACATTTGAGCTGAATGGGAGTTCAGTGTTGAAGATTGCTGAGGTAAGTGCCTCTGTCGTACCATTGCTTGTGTCACTTAATGTTCCCCTGCTACCTAGAGTGTGTCTTCCATTCATATCCTGAAACTGAACTAGTTCAAATCACAATTACCATCTCAGGGACTGGTACTACCTTGCGTCTAGTGTGAAGAAATAGCTGCAAGTTGGGCAGGGCTGGCAGGCTTGCATGGGAAGGCACTTTTGGAAACTGACTGACAATTGTATACTACGGCATTGCATATTTACTAGTCCTCATATTTACTTTGCTTTGCCTTTTGCAATAGAAAAAAAACCCTTGAGTTCTTTATAACACAGCATTGTGCTGATTCCTTACCTGGTACAAGTCTAAAACTAATGAAGTTTCCTCAAGAGACATGTGTAGGCCATAATGTGCAATGTTAGCACAAGTGCCACGATGTGCCTTGTTAGCCTTGTGTGTATCTTTTTCCTAATACATCCAAGTAAAAGGTTTATTACACCTCTAGGTATATGGTGTTCTCCTGGTGCTATTAGTCACTCTTCTCCCTTTATTCCATTAGATTTTAGTCTGAATTAAATTGCAAAGGAACTTTGGCTGTAGAAAAACATAGGTGCAGGTCTATTAAGTGAGCCTTTGTAGGTGGGTGATATTTTCAGTACAGCATGTAGCAAGCCATAAGGCTGTTTGCTCAGGTTAGAGAAGATGCATACGAACACCTGATCCTCCTGCACAGCACATGCTGTTGTGTGTGTGATATATTATAAAATTATATTGTTAATGTGGTGTGGGGAGAGCTAATGCCCATGGAGCAATGTAGAAGTTACATACATGTCCTATACTCCAGGTGCATGTAGACATTTAGAGATGTGTTCCTTCTCAGGTTGTGGTATTTTGTAAAAAAGAAAAATCTCATGTGAAAATAAGCTAACTTTACCTGGAAGTTACAGTGTTTTCTAAGTTTAGGAATAAAATTGCCCTTGCATTGTCCCGTTGGAAGCTGAGAATGGGGTTGTAGGGATAACAGGGAACCAAAGAAAACAGCTGCTAGTTTGTAACAAATGGGCTTTGAAAGGCAGGGATACAACATAAACAGTTTGTGTATATAACATATGTAAGATAAAAAAGTAGTATTCATTCCAGATGTCCTGCACAGCTTAGATTTTAATTTCTCTCATGCTATGTGAGACTTCCCAGTCCATAAGGTATGGCTGGTTTTGGAGGTCTTCGTAAACCCCACCTGTAGATGCTGCAGCAAGGATGAACTGCATTGGTATTTAGAGCAAGCTACAACTTTTTTAAGTTTTACTAAACCCTGTTTAGGTCAGTGACCGAAACTGAAGCAAATACAGGTCGTTTCCCCTCCCACAGTTTTTCTCAGCAGACTTTCTAACATGCAAGGCAAAAGCTGATGAATTCAGCTTAGTACATCTCTTCGCAGTTAAAGAGCTCTAGCTTAGACAAAATACTTGCTGAGAAAAGCATTTAATGGCTCTAAACCTTTCAGATTTCAGTCTTTAAGAGCACTGCCTGAGACTGGAGGAAAATGGTCCATCAGTCACAGTCTGTGTGCTGTAAGCTGTATAGGAAATCATATTTTCTGTTCTCTCTGTAAATTTGGATAACAATAGGCCTGTTATTCATTTAAAGCATCCAGAAAAATGGCAGTTTTCTTTCATAGAATAGAGTTAAACCCTGCTGTTCTTGGTAGTTGAACTTCACTTTCATTCCTAAATGGCTAGCCTGGCTCTTAAAAACCTTTGCTAGTATCATGATACAAGTTAGCACAATGGGTTTGTCTTTTTTCTTTTAAAATGAACAGGAGCCCTGATGCAGGCTGATGAGATGTGCCAGAAAGCAAACAAACCTTTCATTTCTTTCAGGGAATTGGAACAAGCTGTAATACAGAGCATGTGTGTTTCAATTTGGAGTGTTTGGAGGTACAGCTATTTTCCCAACTCACCTCAAGAAAATATTGTCTCAGCGAGTGCCTGGGTCTTCCTGATTAGCAAGTCCCGCTAGGCCCATACATGCTACCTCAGGTTCTTCCTGGCCCGGTTTTAGGAAAGGCAAAGGCTGTAACAGGTGGACTCAATATGCCTTGGTATCTGAATTCTGTAATGTATAAGCAGTAGGGAACAGAAAATTATTTCTGAGTTCAGCATTTATTGTTCTGACTTGCTGTAAGGGAAGGGTGGCAGAGAGGAGCTTTCTGCTCCAGTGCCCCTGCTGTTTGACATTTTTTTCCAAGTCAGTCCCTTAGTTTTCGTAGCCTGCCCTCTGTAGCAAAGTGGAGCCACTGCAGAATTGGAAAGGTGCTGCCTGCATTACTGGTAGAACTCTCTGAGGACTCTCTCTGACAAGCAGGCTACAGTCTGGCCATTTTGCACTGCCTGATCATTCTCAATTCATGTGTACAAAATAATGGGACCCCAAATCTTTCAGAATATTATCAGCTTTAAATTACGGAAGCATCCAACATGAAGAGTACTATATTTTGTGGCTTAAGTATTGAAAACAGACTAAATCTTGCTGTGTGCGCCTTCCCATGCTTGCCTAGACCCCTGCAAGAAATTTTAATTCATGCTGTGACTGTTGCTTGGTTTTATGTGTGTATTTGTTACTCCCATCTATCTTTTGCAGGTTTGTTTTGTTTGTCTGTTGTATTTCATTGACTAACCCTTCTGTGTTTTGCTCTTAGTTGTGTTTTGCATGCCATAGAGCTGGAAGTCCTCGAATGCATGAAATGATCAAAATGTCCATTGCACACCTCCTCGGGGCCTTGAGCTCCCGCATTTTTACTGGTACTTCTTCATCAATGGCTTTTCAAAAGGTACCTTGCCCAGCAATTTTAGAACACAGGCCTTCTGTAAGATCGGAACTCAAGTGGATAGTACTGTTACTCATTAGCCAGCATGGGGAGGGGAGAGACAAAGGAGAGATCAACCATGCTCTTTCCAGAAAGTCAGCCTACCTCTAAGAATGGTATTTCATCAATTAGTTCAGGTACTCTAGAAAAAGACTTACAGCTCAAGAGAATGATCCCAGCAGCACTGGAATGGTTTGGCCTCTGCAAAGGGCTGTACATGGCTAACAGGCTTTAGGGTTTTTTGTCCAGTGGAGTTCAAGGTCATAGCTGAATGACAGGCAGAGTTGGTCCAGGCCTTCTTTTAACTTACAAGACCATCTTCGTCACTGATTGATTGATCTCAAGCTAAATAAAATCCCTTATTTTGGGGGGATATTATTTGAGGGGATCTTGGAATCTTGAAAAAGCGCAACAAGAATGAGATATGCTGTTGATTCAGTCTCTCATATCCTGCAAATGCGTTCAACTGTAATCTGTTCTAGTGTATTGTCAAAGGAGATAATCACTCTCAGTTTATGTCATTTGCATAGTGTTTCTAGCATGAGATAACAAAAGATACGTATACACTTGAAAAGCTCTGGAATGCTATCTCTCAGTGTAGTTGGGAAATAAGGGAAAATAAGGCAGGAGCCCTAATTAAGTAGCTTCCATGTGTGACATCTTAGATCACTCACTTAAGATATACTTTGTATCCAAGAAATTCAGTCATGCTTTCTTGTGCTCGTGGCTTTATTGAAATGCTGAGACGTGAGGTTGCCCGAAGTGAGGAGGTCAAAAGGGTCTTAGGAACATACCTATGTTGTTTTCCACTCTAACAAATGCAGAAATGTGCCAGCAACATGTTAATCTTAAACTTTATAGCCTCGAGGCCACAGCCTTTCTTTCTCAGTCAGTAGAATAGCTTGGTTTCATTTCAGTAGGAGTTAGAAACAATCAAGAGTCTTGTCCATGTGCCCATGTCAATACTGATTAGCCTACTAGTGATCAGATCACTTCTATTTTTCCCTTTTAAAAACTTATCCTCATTAGGGAACTATAAAAATGGCTTTACATCATGTAATATCCTTCTCATGCGAAAACATACACCAGATGCATTTATGTATACTCTTCATGCATACCACTTATACTGTTTTTTTTTTAATTACTTCTTTTTTTCACAGCTAGTTTAATCTAGATTCATAGTTCTTCTCAGTAGCTGCATATCTGAATGATGGCAGAATAAAACCGCAAAGATTGTAAAGGATGTGAATAGTCATTTACTTTTTTTTTTTTTTTTTTTTTTTTGGTCGTTTTTAGGGGATAAAACTCAGTGTAGGCCAAAGGACCAAAGCTGCTTCTTCAGGCCACAGTCTGAGAAGATTGTATTGCACAGTTCTGTTGGAAACAGACTCAGCTCCATCAAAGCTGTTAGCCACTTAGTAGTTACTGTGCAGTAGTTACAGCGGTTACTACAGTTACAGCAGCTCTTCCAGAGACCAACACCTCCCACAGAAAATCTGATCAAGGCTAGAAACTGCATTTTGCAGTGTGTTGTCCCCAGGATCCTAGCTGCATTATGCTTGGGTGACTATTTGTATAACATCATCTGGGGGCAAAAGTCAAGCACAAGTCTGGTCACAGCATGGTGTCAAAAAGATGCAAGCAGCTGGGCATGGAGCTGGGAACTGGATGATCCATCGATGTTCTTTCATTGCTACCTTGGCTCCTGTGGGATCTCTGAGCTGAGGAGCCCTTGGGTTGGTTGCCAGTTATTAAAGGGCAATCATTTGTGTTATTTATAGTAAAACACTATTGTATTTCCTGTATTAGGCTTTCAGATGTGCTGCAGTATGTAATAATTAATTATAGAAAAAGTGGCAAACATCTATACAACAGAAACAACAACCTTAAAGAATTGGAGGGTATTTATGTTGCAGATACAGACTTGCAGAGTGATAGTTACAAGTAAGTATCTAGAAATGAACAATTGAAGCAGCATTTAGGGAATTATCTACAGAACAAAGCAAGTGCCAAAATAACTTGGGTTTGACAGAAGGGGAAGACTTTGCCAATTTTGCCTTACCATTCCTGCAGCTGTGAGACTAGCTGATGAAGTGCATACTGCTTTTAGATGCTACTTACTCAGTTTTCCATGTTGCTGAAAACTTTTTATGTGCTAATAAAGCAATATAAAATAGTAAGGAAGGCTGACTATCTGCATGCGAGAGACCTTGGTATCCTCCTAAAATGTGTTACTGGTAAGTTACAGTTCATATCTATGTGCTGCTATCTTGTTTCCTCATCAGGTTTGCATTGAGACATATGTATCTAGCTGTCACCAGCGGAGCATTAACACCGCTGTGCGGGCAACCCTCAGCCAAATGTTGAGTGACTTGACTTTACAGTTACGACAAAAGCAAGAAAATATGGTGAGCCTTCTGGCATCAACAAATGGTTCTGTGTCCATGGCTGCAGTGTATTGTACTGGCTTGTTGTGCCTTATGGCTTTTATTTGACACTTCCACAATTAATCCTGTTTAAAAGCTTTTTTGGACTCTGACTCTGCGCCTGCCTCAGAGCAGTCTATCAGAAACGCAGCTCTCGCATCATCAGCTCTACTTGGCTGATTATTTTTTTTTCTCCTTCCATTAAACAAAAGAGGCTTTGTTCTGATGTCAGGCTGCCTTGGCCTTTTCCTTTTCCATGCTTTATTTTGTTTGCTTGTTTTCCTAAGGTTCATTGAAATCCTTTTGCCAAAAGTTTTTGCGTGACAAATATTTACATACACAAAACAAATTCTCAACTAAGGAAAGTGTAACTGAGATTTTTCTTCTACTTTTTTTGTAGAAGATAATTTAAGCTTATGAAATTCTTTGCTTGGTTGTTAGAAAAAAAATGAATTCTGTTTATTGCATTATTAAAATCCATGAGATCTGTTTGGATGAAATCCCAGCACGTTGTCAGCAAAGCTGTAAATGTTCTGGGCATATGTGATATTACATTGGCTTCTTACATTCGTTCGTGCTTCTTTGTATATTATCATATTATCAAAAAAGTACTATTTGTAAAAGTCAGTTTCTATTAGGAAGTTTTAAGGACTGTAGTTGTACAGGTTATTGTCCTTACATCTGTTTTGGGTTAAGCTGATCAATTCTATTATGGATTATTAGACTAGATTACTTTCATCCCAATGAGCAACTGCAGAACAGAATTAGTCGGTTTACTTAAACTTATCTTCTGTCTGTGCTAAGTAGGTTCATTTTACTAGCCAAAACATTTACCAAAAAAAACCCCAAACCAAAATGAGCCAAATCAAAACCAGTAGTTTTGACATTTCAGCTTGGGTCCGAAAGTTGAATTTTGTTAGTTCTGTTCTTAGCTGAGGAGTAGGTGAAAATATACGAGAGCTGCATTTAGTTCCTGGCAGTTTGTTGTTGGTGCTTGAGAGGAGGATTTGGCTTGACCCCTTTGTGCACTGATAAGGAAAGTCCTATACCACAGCTGAACCAAATGATAGAAGAGGTCGTTTCCATTTCCTGACTGCCATTAATTGTGCTGGCACTGTAACATTAACAATGATAGTGTGATAAACTCCCTAATACTCAATTGATTTTGGTTTCTAAGTACTTTGTGACATCTAGACTATGCTTTCTCTCAGTTATTTTCAATGTGATTTACACAGCTAGTTATTCTGAGTTTTTTCAGTTGTAGGAAGTCCCTTAAGGACATACAAATCCTAGTTCAGCTCAATAAGGTGTGAGGTCCTTAAATCTAAGTGACTGTTAAACCAGATCTCAAGGAATTTTTGGAAATGTTATGCAAAAGCTTCACTTAAAAAAAACCTAACGAACGAAAAACCCGAATCAGATAGAGGACATGGATTTGTTAAGAAAGCTCTGCTGTTAAAGTATTTTTCTACTGCTTCCACTGATTACACCGCCTTTGTCTTTCCTCAACAGACAATTGAAAACCATGACGCCTTGCAGAAATTCAAGACTCAAGGTATTTGTACCACTTTTTTAGTGACTTCTTCCAATCCAGCTTTTTTATTTTTCACTTTCATTTCATCAGCACAGTACTGTTTAGTGTCACAGGAATTGCATCTTCAGGATTTCTTACCTTCTCCATAGCTTGATCTTACTTGTGGTAAGAATCGAGACAGCCCTGTTACTTCCTGGTATTTTCAGTTGCGTCTTCATTTGGACCATGGTAACAGCATTGCACTCAACATAGTAATAAATTATTGTTTCAGGGTGCTAACTTCTGTAATTAAGGAGTTTCAGTGCTCTGGAGAAAGTTTTCTAAGTGGCTTTTACTTCCTAAATTGAAACAGATTCATGGAGTAGGACACAGAATCTGGAAATGATTGTGTTACTGTATTTCAGGCCAGAGATGCAGTTTGTGTAATGGCAGCTTTTGAAAGCACATCACTAGCAAAGGTGTGTTCACGCTTGCCAAATGACTATTTTACAAGAGAATTCTTTCTACTCCTATTCAGGCTTAACTTCCACCATCTTCCCTGACAGGTAAAAATAATCCCTGCTTTTGATCTTCTTATTGGATTTCTGCAGGAGAACTTGTGTGGATGGAGGCTAAAATCTTTGAAGTGCACAAGCATCCCATTTAAGATCAGGACCTGATCAGACAGCAGAAGCTGTGTAGCAGAGACAAACTACAGAGAGACATACAGAATTTTTAGCTGCCATGTAGAAGTACTGGAGCCAGTCCTTTTTCTACTATTTATTTATATACTTATTTTATTATCTGAATTGGATATCAGCTAATCTTCGTAAATGCGTGTAGGCAATCAATGCTCTCTCCGGATTTAATACCACTGCTTTTTCATTGTGTGGAGATCACTTTCCAATCTAGGACTTTTCCTGCTGCATCTTCTCCATGAATTTTGGGCAGCCCTGCTCATTGTTTAGAAGCTCTGACCAACTCTGAAAGTCTATACACTGAATTGAGGTTGTAATCCAGCTGCGCATATGTAATGCTTCTGATCTTTGTCCTTTTTGGAGGTACTTCAGCTGAGTCTCTTTGTGATGATGTTGTATCTGTCCTCACTGTGCTCTGTGAGAAGCTCCAGGCTGTCATAAAGTGAGTTATTTCAGTTTATAATTTGAATTTATTACCTGGAGATTGAGAGTGTCGCTGATACATGTGATTGTACTGTTGTAGTTCTGGGATTATGGAGCAAAACTGTGCTTAACTGAAGTGTTTATTAGAAGTATTGTTCATGATGCCTTAATTTAATTGTCACTTGAGATGACAAGCTAATTTGCCTTCTCTGTGCACTGTTCAGTTTTAAGAGCTTCCAGTAAACCTAATCTATAAGTAAATCCCATACAACAGCAAATACTTGTCAAAGGAGAAGTTTTCTTTTCTGCCTTGAAAGCAACCATTGTAGAGAGAACACCCATTACAAGAGACATGAAAAAAACCTAACAGAAACATTTAATATGCAGAATGAATTAATATGTCCTTCTTAAAAAGGCAGCATTTAGCCAATTGAAATAATTTACATTACCAAAGCATTCCTTAAATTTAGGAGTATCATACACTCTACCTACTTGGAAATGCATGAACCTGACTTTTAAAATACAGTTATCATGGGCAGTAATAGGGTGTTACACTGCATTAAAATACTAGAGTGTCTTGTTGGCCAGTACTGTAACAGTAAACACTTACTCATGAGTTAAAAATTACTTTCTGTGGCATTCTAGCATGGCTCAACTAATGGTCTATTAAGAAATGAGCCAATAAAAAGCATTAAGTGTTAGAGAGGTGACAAACCAGCCAAAAGCAATGCAAACATTATACAGCAATTATTTAAAAACTAGAAATATAGCAAGCTGGAAATACTTTGAAAGTTTTAAGGGAAAAACAAGTTCTTACTTGATTACATTAGAATCATAGAATCGTTTAGGCTGGAAAAGACCTTTAAGATCATCCAGTCCAACCATTAACCTAACATTACCAAGTCCACCACTAAACCAGTTAAGGGTAGAGTAGCAATTTCATGTTTCCTGGCTTGGTGGCTGGATTATTTTTAATGAAAGTAAAAACTAGGAATCATTAAGATTGGAAAGGACCTCTAAGATCATCAATCCAAACATCAACCCAACACCACCATGCCTACTAAACCATGTCCCAAAGTGCCACATCTGCCTGTTTTTTGAACACTTCCAGGGATGGTGATTCCACCACCTCTCTGGGCAGCCAGTTCCAATGCTTGACTACCCTTTACATGAAGAAATTTTTCCTAATATCCAATCTAATTGCTTCTGTATTGGTAAAATAAGATTTAACTTGCTGTTACTGCCAGTTGCAAATCACCTGAGCAGTAGTGAAAAAGCCAATCTGAAACTATTTTAAATGTAGCATAACACTGTCTCTTAGGTTGGACTGTATGTCTCTGAAAGTAGCCTGTGATGAACTCGGGGAGAAGGGAGAATTACAAAACAAGCATGCATTGGTGCTTCTTTTTATATGCTGTAGCATTTTCAGGAAGTCTATGGCTTAGGAACTACCAGAGCCAAAGACAGCACAAACATCTTTGTGTGAAGTTCTTCTATAGGCTTTCCTCCCATGATTGTCTCTAATTACAGCAAGATTTGAATGGGAAGAGTGCCTTACTTGGCATTATTTAACCAGTTTTAGCATTTGGGAAAACAAAGGCACGTTTCTGAACCTTCTAAAGGAATATGTTGGGGTTTTTTTTTTTTTTTCAGTTGTGTGCATAGTTACAGGACAATAAGAAAAGATCTTCAAAAGTGTGTATCTAACAATAGAAGGTGGCAAAACCAGCTGAAAGATTAATTCTTTGTATCAAATTTTGCTCATATGTGAAGCTATAAACAGCTATCATCTGATAATTATTGTCCATGAAATGATAATCACTTTGAATTACTGGTTATGAAATATCAAAACTAAACTACCTGACAGGATCTCTCAAAATAACCGAAAGGTTTTTTTTAAAAATTATCTGAAATCCCAGCTCCCCATAAAACTGTACTGAATTAGAACAGATTGAGGCATATTGTAGATAAAGTACAATAAGAAATTCAGACGACTTAAAAATACTCGCTGAGCCGTGATTTACTTCATGCTTGTAATTATGTACCTAGACTGTTAGGATCTCTGATTATGTGCAAAGCATAGTAAAGGATTCTGATTGAATGTGAGGAAAACAAATTGAATTAGGATGGCTTGTTAAAGAACTAACTCCATGAATGAAAAGCCTTTATTTCTTTCAAGACCAATTTTGGTATCTCCTTCAAAACACTTTGTTGGCAGCAACTTAACTTTGTAACCTCCAGGTCAGTGAAGTGAGGTTTTAGTATGCTATACTGCCTGTTCTTATCCTGAAGATTACTTTAATCCCTCCTTCTAAATGTCAGACTTATTAGAATTTGGTTTTGAGGGAGGCACAGCTATGAGTAATGAGGAAGAGTTCAGGGAGGTGAATTTTTTTTCTTGGGACCACTGGTGACTTGGTGACTCTGGAATTTGTGGCAGCAATAATATGAACATAACAGCTATGCTGAGGTGTACAGGAGTGCCATGTTCATTTCTTACCTGCAGGAAAATAATTTGGTAGTAAAAGGCATCAGAGCCATCATGAGTGCAAGGATGTCCTATGCATGCCCATGCAAGTGTCAACTGCAAGATGTTGATGATCTGCATTAAGACACATTGTAAGAAAAGCTGTCAGGAAGGAAGGCAATTGGATCTGGAATGTGTGTATCTTTCCAGATAGGTATGGACTGTTATGAGGAAAAGGCTATCACCTCTAAAATATATAACCAGCCAGCAGTTTTAAACCCTCCATAACACAGAGTTAGAAATCTAGCATCGAGCCTCAGGATTCACTGTTTTCTGCATAGCATGTGAAACAGGTACTGTTCTACTTGGATGAAAATTCATCTATGTGAACAAAAGGAATTCAGGCAGTGACAGAAGAGCAGACATTTCTCATTCCTTAATTTCAGTTAAGATAAATCCATTCTTTACAGCTTCCTTTACGTACCATCATACATCAGAAAATACATTCCTCCAGCTCTCATCTGAGATGAAAAAAGAATAATTAAATCCTAGTCTTTTTAGGAATGAAAACCAGAATGCGAGTGCAATTGGCATGGGGAGCTCCTTTCATAAGGCAGACCTCAGCCTTGCTTGTCTCCTGAATCCCGCAGCTAATTCTGAGAGTAGGTACAAGCACATTGTATGTTACAAGGGCATCAATTCCAGGTGTCCACAGGATCTTTCCTGTTCTTTCTCATGAAGGTCACTTTGTGTTTATGGTTTTGACAGTAACTGTCAAAACCCTGAAAGGTAGCCATGTCGTCATGTGACTTTCTGCCTGTAGTCATTGACTTTTAACCATTGGGGCTGTCACCAAGAAAAGAGGAAAAGAATAACCAGAAGAGAGCAGCCTAAATGCCCTTCATATTGCTTGAAGAAACTATCCAGTAGTCCAAAATCTTCTGGTTGTCTCCTTTTCTTCTGTTTAAAGATTCCTTCCTCCTCAAGTTTTTAGAATGAATTTGAATAATTATTTCTGGTTTATTCTTCCTGGTTTTTTCACAGTTTTTTTTTTAATTCTTCACTCTGAAATTTGATGAATTAAATCTATTTTCTTTCTATTACTTACAAAAAGTAGCAGATAGCTGCATGTGATCAGTACAAAATAAATGGGATGATAAAAGTGATCACACCATTGTAAATCCAGAGGAAGAAGCAAAGTAAATCACTGCTGTAAATGGTGGTATAATTTTCAAGTAAACTAATGTAATTATTTTAGAAAATTAAATAATCTTTGTTTTAATATGACATGAATGGCATCTTTTCTCTTTGCTAGTGACAATCGGCAACTTCAGCTTCTTTACTTGGAGTGCATCCTCTCCATGTTAAACAGCTCCTCTCCCAGCATGCACCAGCACAAAGGATTCACTGATCTAATATGGTGAGTACGTCTGGAGACTAATGCAAATATTCAGTTTGTAAGTATAAAAGGACCTTCTCCCCCCAGCCATGCAAACAAACCTGTAATAAATCTCCAAATGTGAGCAGAACTTGCTGTTAACCTACTATCAGCTCATTCTGTGCCTCATATAAGATTGGTTAGGACCGCATACTCAGCTAGCACATTAAATCCCTGTAGTGAATTATCACTGTAACGAAGTCTAATGTATTTAGCCAGAACAGAAAATCTCTTACACTTTCCAAAATAGTTCAGATTTGTGTGTGGCATGAAACACACAAGTATTCTGCTTACTGTAGGAGGGTGCTGTAGAGATTCTTACTGCTGATGCAGTGGTAAAGGAAGATAGGGACAATTAATGTCAGATGGTGTGCTGGTGACCAGAAATGCTTGTGACCTGAATTGTGTAAGGGCTGAGTCCAAATGGTCTTCATGGTGCTTCCACTTTATCAAGAAATCCTCTTTTTAATACACTTCACCAGAAAGGCTTTAGTGTTCATATCTACCTCTAAATTGTTTGATCACCTTGGAGCACCTGAAATAATCTTTTTCCATCTTTTGGTTTGCAGTAGTGCTTTTTTTTATAGCATATGGTTAATTGAGTCATAGTAATAAAGCAAGAATGTAACTAACATGCAATCCCTTGCAGTCTATGCCCATCCTGTGACCTTGGCAGGTGATTGTGTTAAGAAAAGATAGATATGACTGTTAATGGCAAATGGGTTTCTTGGGCTTTTACCCTGTAATTTTTGAAATGGAAGTGTTTTACTTGGGCCCAATTCTAAGGATGCGACATGTAGAGGCACCCATAACTTCCCTTGCTGTCCCAGGAAAATCAGTGGCTGCTGGACTGGGTGGTCTTCAGGTTGATAACACTTGGCAGTGTTGCACAGGGACCTTGTGCTGAGGCCTCTGGGAGCTCTAATGTTAAAAGCAGAATTCTCTCTTTCATCGCAAACCCATTTCAGAAATTTCTGCCTTTGAATTTCACCCAACCCTTTGTTTATGCTTATGTGACTGTCTGTGGGGCCATCCTATAAGCAAGGTCACTGAAATGATCTTGGTTAAAAGAAAACACTTCCTGTTTTGGTTTAAATTTACATAATTTTGATGATCCAGTTTACGCTGCAAATCTACAGGTGTTTGTATTTGTAACTGTGTATCATGAGGGCAAGCCATCAGGGGCAGGACTTCTTAACCTGCATTGATGCCAAGGAATATGCATCCTCCAGCTACATGATTAAGATGAAGTGGAAAAAAAAAACCCAAAACACTAGGAAGACATGGAACAGTTCAAAATTATGTTTGCAGTTTAAATATACAGCAGCAAAAGTATACACTAATCCATTAGCTGTCTAGTGAAGTTGTGAACCAAACTGATAGTTGTCTTTGTTCTTTAAGGAGCTATTGCCTACAGGCACACAACTTTCTCTCTGGCTGGCACTTTGTAGGCAGTTCAAAACAGAAGATAAAGAAGGGAGAAGGCAGAGAAGGTTTAGCTCTGTGTTATTCTGACAGTGTTATCCATACTTTGATACACAAGCACTTTGATGGGACTAAGATGTGTGGGGAATATGTTGCTGTTGCAACCTGTGATTATGCCTGCTTTGAGGCAAGCACGTTTCTTAAGCAGTGGGTTGATATGTTTTGAAGTGTACCTGATTGTAGAAAGAAACGGAATAAGCAGACTCAAAGTCATTATCTGATGTCTGATTAAAAGCTGGTTTTCTTTCTGTGACTTCAGGAAGCTGAGCTGTTTTAGCAAGCACATTAAGAGAAGCAATGAAAGTGCTGGGCTGCATAAAAATCCTGAGAAGATAAAATGTACTTACCTATGAGGATGTGTTACTTTCTATGCTGAATCATTACTTGTCATTGGGTGCTTGCTCTAGGCACCAGCTTGAACCTCTGAGGCATGTGGGTGAAAATCAGGTTTGGGACCACATTCTCATGCAGCACATGGCTTTTTAAATTAGGGTCTTGCAGACTGAAGTAAAATGTCAAATGTATGAGTGCAAAGCTGAAATAACAGCTAATGGAGCAAAGTGCTGAGTAGTTTTTGGCTCTGGTTCCACAGAATAATGATCTGCTGGTGTGGAATCACTTAACTTGATTGTTTATGCAGAAAGACAGTTGAAGGAAGGATGGTGTTTTTAGTGTGTAATGGCATATGAGGAGTTACAGTGCACACTTTGAGTTACTGTAGAGGGCTTTAATTATGTTCTCAAAAGCCAGCAAAAGAGACACTCACAACTAAGGATGCTTACTAAAATACATGCATGTGCAGTTCAGTGATGGAATATCAGGCCTTCTAGTTAGCATAGATTGGTTTTTGTTTGGTCATTTTTTTTTAAAGCTCCCAAGTTGGGCTGAAGAAGAAACACGTGGCAGTAGAAACCTAGAATTCCTATCCTGCGATAGGTTGCAGCCAGTGAAAGAGGCAGACATGCTATCCTGTGAAGGGCAGCACTGTACAGCAACATGAACTTGCAAAATCAGTACCATGTTTAGAAAGCACCCGAAAGTATTTCCATATGTACTGACATGCTGATGCTTGGGAGATGAAAAAAGCCTGGTGTAATTTGTTATTCTATCTAGCCACTGCTGTTGACTGATCATTAAAACAAGAGTGTGTATCTCATTTAACCGTGGGCTATTTTCAATCTGTTCCTGTGAGATTTTTTTTTTTTTTTCAGTAACCATCTGCTGCTTCTCTCTTTTTCTCAGGAAGCAACTGTGTCCAGCCCTGGTAGTAATCCTGGGAAATCCAATCCATGACAAAACTATCACCTCTGCCCACAGCAGCATCTACCTTGAGGCTGATTCACCTTCCTCAGGGATCTCCGATCATGGCCGGGGTTCAGGTTGTTCCTCCACAGCACCTGCGCTTAGTGGGCCAGTTGCACGGACCATATATTATATTGCAGCAGAACTGGTTCGACTGGTAGGGTCAGTGGAATCCATGAAGCCTGTGCTGCAGTCTCTCTATCACCGGATATTGCTTTACCCACCACCTCAGCACCGAGTAGAAGCCATCAAAATTATGAAAGAGGTAGGGTAATCACATGTGCAAATCCAGACACGTAAAGCAAAATGTTTATTTAACAGTAAACATTGCTGATACATGCATACCAGTCCATTCTGTACCTTAGCACTAGGGATGTTGAAATCGCCCTTTCTGAGCACAGCTGTTACATCGAAGTCACTCTGACAAATATTTTTAGTTTTACAAAGTCGTAATAGCTATATTTGTCTCCATAATACAAGCTGCTATGGCAACTCCGTCAGTGTTCATGCTGTGGTACTGCATGGAGCAGATCTTATCACTGAGTCATGACTGCTCTTTTGGGTGAGATACAGTATAGTGATCCAGTTCTCAACTTCTTTGGCATCTTTCCCCACTCTCTGCTCTTGCTAGAAGGAGACATTCATCCTCACAGTGTAGTATTCCAGGCACTATGGTGAATAAATGTTTTGATTACATGCCAGGTTTTTGAAATACAGTTTCCTTGAGCGTTATTAGAATAGCCACAAGGAAGCTGCCAATGTCTTAAGCGGCCATGTCAAGACCAGTCCATTCTGGCCTCTTGCCCAGTGCCTCTGACAGCACTAGAACTGGAGCATTGTGAGGCTTCTTTGAGCAGCAGCTGAAATCATGGGCTCTTCCATTTCACATGTGTGGCTTTCTTCTCACTTTGTGGAACACAAGGCAACTTACGTAATTTGTAGGAACAGTGGTCTGTCTTAGAGGATTTTTGTTCTAGCTTTTGCATACCTAGGCTGTTCTGTGTCTGAAGATCTCTGCTAACAGCACACAGTCACCCAGTGGGTTGTCTGAACTGGCAGTCGCCCTGGCACTTATCTTCATCTAATTTTAAACAATAGCAAGATGACAATTGAAGTTTTAGGAAAAGCTCAGTCTAATGTTGTTTCCTGCAGGACATACCTGTTGCCTCTTTCTGCTTTTTAATATGGCTTGTTTGTAAAGCCTTCTCCTTGTATTTTCTGGTGGCCATTAACAGGACACCACCCAGCAGGTTGAGTCAGAAGGAATGACTTTGCCTATCTTTGCGTGACTCTATCATTTTGTAACTGGGTGACTGAAGAGAAAGGCTGCCTTTGGTATATAATATAATGCAAGGTAGTTGCTCTATATTTTGGCATGAAGTTTGTCTTGTGTGCAATATCAGTTGAAACATATTCAGTCAAAAATGTAAAGCACTGGACAACATTCTATATGTGATTCTTGTTGAATATTCTGCTCTCCTCTATCTGCTTTTCTGACTTTAAAAAGAGGAAAGGTAGCTTTAATAAGTAGAACATCAGTGTGCTGTTTTCCTTTGCTGTAAGAAATTACAGGACTGCTACCTTGGGTTCCAGGGTTTGGTAGAACTATGACTCATTTATTGTATTTAAATAATGCTTAGATAATCCTCTAATAACTTCTGTTTCCTTTCCTTTCAGATACTTGGCAGTCCTCGACGGCTTTGTGATTTGGCAGGGCCTTGCTCTTCTGAGTCAGAATCCAGGAAGAGGTCTATTTCTAAAAGGAAGTCCCATCTGGATCTTCTCAAGCTGTACGCTTTGTTTCCTCCTTTAGCCTCTTCTTTCTTAAACCTGTGCACACAGGACACTTGTACCTTCAGAAGTATACCCAAATATGAGCCAGGGTATCTCCCTGGTTAAATAAGCTGTGAAAATGGAAGAGGGGTAAAAGCTCTTACTGGTTTGTCGTCAGTCTGGGCCTGTTTGTAAAGGCATAGATAACTACCTTGTGGATTTTGCCAAAATACCCAAATATATTGGTTTACAGCTGGAAAGTCTTGTGTTTGGGTGCCTAAACTTGCAATGAAATAACTGTGTGCTTATTTAGAGGTACATTTCCAAGATGAAGTCAAAGGAGGTAATTGAAAATTTAAACATTGTCAGATTGAGCAAGAAGGATTCTCAGTTCTTATAAAGATCATATCTTGTAGATAAGATAAGTTTCAGGACACAGATGGCTTTAAATTTAACTTCAGTCGGGTGTTGAGGTTTTTTTTCAGTGGAAGTGCTTGTCTGTAAGGGAAAACATGCTGTGCATGCTGGTACGAATGCATGGTAACTGTTTCCCTGGTTGGCACTCCCTTTACAGAATGGCCATGTCCACATGGGAGACATAATAATTTGTTCTAATACTAGTTGTCTTTCTCGGGAGTAGTATTACAGGATAATTTAACTTTTTTTTTTTTCCTGGTTATGGAGGGATGGTGTTGGATGATAGCGACATGTGCTCCCTACATGTGCTGCATCACTTAAAGAAACTGTTTTAATTGTAGTATCATGGACGGGATGACAGAAGCATGCATCAAAGGTGGTATTGAAGCATGTTATGCTTCAGTGTCCTGCGTCTTTGCCCTGCTTGGAGCATTAGATGAGCTGAGCCAAGGGAGGGGTCTTAGTGAAGAGCAGATCCAGCTGCTGCTCCGGCGCTTAGAAGAATTGAAGGATGGGACCGAGACGAGCAGGGACTCCATGGAGATCAATGATGCTGACTTTAGGTGGCAGAGGCGTATCCTGTCCTCAGAAAATCCTGCCTGGGAATCAGGAAATGAGAAGAGTCCTGATATTAGCATTAGTGTTACCACAGACACTGGTCAGACCACTTTGGAAGGGGATATGGGACAGACAACTCCAGAGGATAATCCAGAAAGTCAAAAAAACTCGCTACCATCTCCAGCTGGACACGAAAGCAAAGAGCTACGTTACAGAGAACCAGAGTCAGAAACCATTGACCAGCCAGATGTTGTTCAGAGAAGCCACACCATAGTCTATCCAGATATAACTAACTTCTTGTCAGTTGATTGCAAGACCCGGTCCTATGGATCCAGATACAGTGAAAGTAACTTCAGTGTAGATGACCAAGACCTTTCTAGGACTGAGTTTGATTCATGCGATCAGTATTCTATGGCAGCAGAGAAGGACTCAGGCAGGTCAGACGTCTCGGACATAGGCTCTGACAATTGCTCCCTGGCTGATGAGGAGCAGACACCAAGGGATTGTCCAGGTCACAAGTCCTTACGTACTGCTGCTCTCTCTCTGAAATTGCTGAAAAACCAAGAAGCAGACCAGCATAGTGCACGGCTGTTTATCCAGTCACTTGAAGCTCTTCTTCCTCGGCTTATAGCTCTTCCCAGCATAGAGGAGGTGGATGGAGCACTGCAGAGCTTCTCTTCAACCTTCTGCTCAGGTTTGCAAGCAAATATTTACTGTCTAACCAGCATGCACACTGTGACAGCACTGTACACAGATTCTCTTGTAGGATTTCATCTTCAGAGAACACATCCAGAGTAAGGAGGTTTGTGCTTTACAAAGCACATTCCTCCACAGCAGCACACTTCATTTAGGGCAAAGTAAATTGAATATGCAGGCACTGATTCAAAGGGAGGTCAATCCATTAACTTTTAACAGGCTCTGTATTATGTCCTCAGTCAACAGAGAAATCAGATTTTCTGTAGTAAGATACTTTCTTCACAGGTTTGTGAAGATCTGTTGAGAAGGTTTGCACATGCTGTCATTAAAGAGAGGTTGGGGTTGCCCCTTAGCATGAAAAGGGGTATGGGGAGGACCATCACTTGTTTTGAAAAGGATAAGAAAAGAGGAGCAGCTCTCCTCTTCTTCACTCTTTTTTCTTAATACTGCTATCTATCATTACAGGAAATGCAAAGCTCAAAGCCCAAACTAAGTGAAAAATAGTTAAAGATCTTACCTTTTAAGAGAGCAAATGCCTGCAGTTCTTTCAGGGTTAGAACCTTTGGGATCTTGACTTGGTCAATCAAACAAAATGCCATGCAAAGGCTAGTTTGTCCTGTTGATAGTATATTTAAAATGTGTATAAATATATATATTTTTAGAAGGGTTTGTTCTTCCTGAGAGTGGCCAAAGTGGAAAATGTTTCTTAAAATATATTTTGCTGTTTCTTTAACTTAATTCACCACAATTGCCTTTTCTATTGCTCCTCTCCTAATCATTGCCTCATTCATTTGTGCTCTCTCACGCACATTAAACTCATACAGAGGTAGAAAGGATGCCTCCCATCATCATACAACATAATTTAGATATGAAGCTGGGTGAATAAGCTGATATTCCTGATATCCTGTTTAAATTCTGCCCAAATAAGCCCTCACTCAGGAAGTTGGTAGATGACATTCTTAAGAAACATTGGCCATGTTACATCACAGATCAGAGATATCTTAAAGGGGACGTTAATATTAATTACATTCCAAATTGAGGTGCTCAAAAGCATCCTTTCTGTCACAAGAGATTTCTTTTTCCTGAAAAAGAGTGAGGTTATGCCAAAAGACCAGGACTAGAACTCTAGCTCAAACTTCTGTGCACCTGTTCCCTCATGCATGAGTATACCACTTCTTTTCTCTTGTATCTGTCAAATCCCTTCACAATGTTTTAAAGCATTGGAAGAGGTAGACCTAGCAGACTTAGATTTTGAGGCTAAACGTGACTTTTGTTGTCATTCAGTGTGACTAATACAGTGAGAAAGATGGAAGAATATCACTCAATTTCTGCATTAAGTCCATAATTTCTGTTTTGTACCTCTGTCTTAAAAAGATACCTAGTCTTGGACTTAGTTGAGTTGAGGAAGACCTTTCAGTTTCCTAAGAAAGCCGCCCCCATGACTAAACCTGTACTTAAAAATGTATACCACGTTTCCAGTCTGACTTGGTGAAGTATTCTTAGAAGATGCCACTTGGTAAGGAGTCGTGGAAAAATATAGTAGCAAGTTACTGTATTAATATAGTTTGGAAGAGGTATCCTGGTGTTTTCACAGAGCTGTGACTGTTACAGAGGAGTATGCTCTCACAAGATCTGTGTAGATCATGTTTCAGCTGGACACCTGGAATGCTACTCAATGCATCTGAAACAGTCCCTTAACTTGTACCTCAGATCTTAAGCAAAAGTCCGTCAGGCCTCCTGAGGTGAGGACTTGTGTTCCTGTGTAGGTGAGAGAGGTATGAGTTTGAAGACCTGGGGAGAGAGAGAGAGAGAGACTTACTAAAGTTGAAGCACATGTCTGGGGGTAGGAACTCCCCCTGGAGAGCTTCCGAGACACCGGTCTGATCTGCCTCTATAGGCAACGTTTGAGTCCTTACTTCAGGACTCCTTTGATAGCACCAACAATTCAAGGCGTAAATTAGATGATGAAGTTAGAGGAACCGGTCCTATTAATTGTATGTACGACACCTATTCATGTATAATTCCTGAAGAATACATTTGGAAATTTGAGTATTGGTTAAGATTGAGTTGAGAAAAGAGACATGCAGTTCTGAGACCAGCCAGTACAGAAGCAGTATTTTTGTGTTTCTGAGAGACCTTATTTAACTACTTTCTAAGAAAAATTGAAAAATGAAACACTTTGGGGGAAAAATACATTCTCTACAATTTAGTAGTCTGTTCTACAGGTGAGGTCCTTAAATAGTATTGTCAGATTGTTATGTTTTCATAGGACTGAAAAGCAATGAAAGGAGGTAGGAATTTGAGGCATTGGCATGGGAGTATAAGCATGGAAAAAGTGAAGTCAGCTAAGCAGAGTTACAGTGAAATTAGGATTTAGAAGTCAGTTGGTTAAAAGCCTTCCTAATCTACAGCTTTCATCTTTCCTCAGAAAGTTCCTCCTTATTGCTAGACAAAACCAATGCGAAAAAAATCCTTAGTGACACTGGAGTGTGATGTCTTATCTTAAAAAATACCGAATTATCTAAAAATTCTCAACATTATCTTGACTTGTACAAAGCATTAAATTTGCATTTTTTCAGGACCTCCTTTCACCTGGCCAATTGAAATGAACTGTTGTCTCAGTTAAGACAGTGTGCTAACCTCATTGTTTATTGTCACGGGCAGATTTTTATAATTAAAGTTGATGATCAGTATTCTCTTAATTTGGACATAACTATTATCATGAACTACAGTGTCAAGGCATTAATTCTAAAAATAGTGTGTCATTGTGGGAATAATCATAGCAAACATTTTTAGCACCTCTTTTCAGTTTTGATTCCATAGCTTTTAGCAGCAAGGTTTTTATGTTGTCATCATTGCAAGGTTACACATCAGCTAATCTGCTTTTGAGATCTCAGCATCTCTCAAATGTAGTTGTTTATTTTCCCATATTTTAGAGGAAATTAGGGATCATATTCTTCCCGAATACTTTTGCGTGCTCAAATACATACCACTATGTAGTAGCCACTTTTACGTGCAGTTATACACCTTCCTTTTTAATAGCAGTCTTGTATGGGAGGTTGTACGATTTTTTAAAATATTTTAATGCAAAATGAAGTGGGCTTTTTTTTTTATTTTACATACCTCTCTGCCTTGAGGTTTTTATTACTCTAGCAGATTCAAGTCCCCGAGATACATATTTAAGAGAGATAAGGCATCAAATCAATGTATTCTAGCTACATCAATATCATGACCTTCCATCCAACAAAGTGTTAAGATGCATCTTTGCCTTCAGTGATGAAGGAGTCACTGGAGCTACTCACAGGATACTTTCAAGCACGTGGTTGCAGTTTTGGTACTAGGTAAAGAGTCTCTGTTAACATTCACCACGAGAAACCTATCCCAAGCACACACCAACCTGTGTGTGTATGGTTTGTGGCCAGCCCTATCACCCCTCTTCCACAAAGGTTGCTCCCTTGAACAGCTATTCATTTTTTAGACCCACCCTGGAACAGTTACTCTCTTTCTAAATCCGCCCTCAAACAGTTACTCACCTTATCCACGCCCCCAAAGTGACGACAGTGGAAAGTCCGAGAAGGCAGCAGCACAGAGCTTTCAAACCCTCACGAGGCAAGAAAAACATTTGCTTCTTTTCTGTGTGTGGATTTTTATTTTTTATTTTTAATGTTAATTGGTTTGTTGTATTTTGTCTAAGAAGAGGCATGAGCTTTATGGTGGGAGGAATATATTCACAGTAAACCACTGCAGCAGTTAACAAATGACACAGCTTTGCTTCATCATGTAACTAACCTTGGAAGCTGTTTTTTTGTTTCATTTCAAACATTTCTCTAGGATAAAGCTTACTCCTTAATCCTCCCTAATTGACATTATATGAATGGATTTCATAGTTGATGTGAAAACCATGAAATGTTGTGGGTCATGTGGGGGGGTCTAATATTTCTGTTTTTTTCATGGCTCAAACTACAGATCATGGGGATTAAATTAGGTATTGCTCATACTTGATTTATGTTTTCCTACCAGTAGGTCAGCTAACTCAGAGGAAAATGTATGTGCTGTCCATCCTACCTGGGAAGAAGGGATTGCGCCACTGGGCATGGTTGTAGGCTCTCATTTCATACAGTGTTTTCAGGAGTACTGAGCGCTTACAGGTGGCTTATGGGTCTGACAGAGCTGCAAGTGCTCAGCTATCTAGAAAGCAGGTCTTGTATGAACTAAACAGGGCTTGGATTTGTAACGAGTTCCAGCCAGCTTGGCCCGAAATATTTGTCCACATACCTCTAGGCCATGGAGAGAATGATAATTACAGCCTGATCCTGCAAGGTGCCGAGCACTCCAGTTCCCATCCAACAACTCACTTAGCCAGGACAGATTTACGGCGGGGTTATAAGGTCTGTCACCCTCCTTAGCACCATTTGGTGCAATGTATGCCCAGTTAGTAGGCAGGCTTTGCCTCTGCCCCTTCCCACCTCATCTTTCCAGTTAGCCTTGCAGATGTATCCTGCCCTTTGCTTTGTACCTGGCAGTCATCCCAATGAATGCTGGTGGTCCTTCTGTATTTCAGATTAGTGAGCTGCTTTGCTGGACTGTGACTGGAGTGTTCAGTTTGCCTTGCAGCACTGCATTCTAGACGGACTACTTATTTTTCTATTCTCTATTCTAGTACATATAGTAGAGTAGTTTCTACAGATGATTCATTAACTATTCTGGCAATCTGTTGCTGCTGAAATGCTAGGGTTAGTTTCTGATTTTTCTTTTTTCCAGGCAAAATCTGTGTAAAATGTGAGAGCTCACATGGTGTTTTTGTTAGGTATGATGCACTCACCAGGATTTGAGGGAAACCTAAATTTCAGCTTCCAGACTCTGATGAATGCAGACAGTCTCTACATGGTCTCACATTACACTCTGCTGCTCAACCTAAAATTGGCCAACTCGGATTACTACAGGAAGAAGCCTGCCCAAGCCCCTGTGTTGCTGGTGAGTTGGGGAATATGGGAAAACTCTTAAAAAGAAAATTTGGTTTGCTTCCTTTCACATAAACCAGCCCACACGTAAAGCGTTCAGGCTGCTTGTTAAGTGGAGAAATAATAATTGCAAATGAAGTGTTCTCTAAGCTGCTTTGAATCTTGCATGACAAATGTCATGCATCTGAATTACACAGCTTCTCCATAATTTGGGGAGAAATGAATGCTGCTTATTGATTGTCATTAAGGTAGCAGTCATTTTGATGGATACTCTATCTTCAGAACAGATCTTCATTAACATCATGTAATGCAGCAAGTATTGTTTGTGCATTTATCAAGGGACATACCTTCATCTTGCAACTACTTTGAGCATAATGACACATTTTTTGCTTAATCCTTGGTTTCTGTTTACACAGATGAAGACATGAGAAATTAGAATGAAAAATGATTAGGTTTTAGTAGATGATTTTTGTGGCACCTGGAATTCCTCAGCTTCTTGGGCTTTTTAAAAATTGTTTTGAAGGCTTCAGGACTTAAAAACATGAATCTATGTTTTTCAACTAAGTTGCCCAAGAGAAGTTGTTTCTGAGTTTTCCTAAAAATAAAAAAAATCGGTGATATATGGAACAAAAAAATGAAAACAAAAAAAATTCTGTCAAAATGGACCATTATTGCTGAGCTTCCCATGTAAGAGAATTTATGTTCTAGAAGACCTCAAAAACAAGTGGGTTTTAACATCATCATCATCAGTTCTGTTATGTTCTTCAGCAGCTGCGAGAGCAATTCTGGGACTCAGAACCTTCTCTAGGGGCAGCACTGTGTGCAACAGGCCTGTGCATGACCTAAGTATTGTTGAAAATAGTCCAGATATCTGGACCCCAGTTCATCTGTGGTGACTGTTCAATGCAGAAGGACCTGATTGCTGGACTGGCAGCATTAAGTGCCACAACTTCATTTTATTGGAACTGAAATCCTACCCCTACCGTGGGGAAATAGTGAGAGATCAGCATGTTCCACTGGCACTGTACAAGAACTGTCATTATGATTTGCATCTTGCATGAACTGCAATAAGAGAAGGAAAAGCTCTTTGTTCATGTTATTCTCCACCATAGAACACATCGTGATCCTCCGTTAATTCTTATTTTTGCATAACTTAATTTCTATTCCTGCATTCCCTTATTATTGTCTTACATCTGGCTTTTATGGTTCTCTGCAGAAGGAGTTCATGAAGCAGGTGCAGTCCAGTGGAGTGTTGATGGTATTTTCCCAGGCCTGGGTTGAAGAACTGTACCACCAGGTACTAGAAAGGAACATGCTGGGGGAAGCTGGATACTGGGGAAGCCCTGAAGAGCACAGCCTTCCACTTATCACCATGCTGACCGGTCAGTACTATGTTATGGTGGCAAGGCTAACTTCCAAACACATCTGAAACAAGCTACAATAACACGCTGTTTCATTGCATTACATACAGAACAGCATGTCATCATGCAACACGTGGTATTTCACAAAACTACTGGTAGAGGAGGAATGAGACTTAACTGTGGCAGGTACTTAAGTGTTTGTTTTGGATCAGACAGAAAGCTTTTGAAGCATGAGTTTAAAAACAAACTGTCCCTGGGAGACAGGGAGAGTAGGTTTGTTCACTGAACCAAAACATCTCTTAATTCTGTCAGCCTCAGTTCTGGTAGACTTGGTACCTGTTAATGATCGGTAAGACTACTGTTTTCTTGATGTCATAGCAAAGCCATTTCAGTGTGCCTGTGGTGCAGTACAAATATAAGTAGTGGTGTCTGATCCTGGAAGCATTCCACAGATTGGGCTCCCCTTGGTTCAGATTTGTGCTATGCCAGGGATATGCCAAATGGTGCTAGAGAGAAGCTGAAAACCTGGAGCACTCCTAACAAATTCTTAAAAACAATCCTTAGCTTCATTCGAGGGAAAAAGATCAAATGGTATCAGCTGAAAGGCAGTAGGATGTTTATGATATTGTATTGATATAAAATGCAGTCTGCTTAATGTGTATACTGTATGATTACAAAGAGGTAATTAAAACAGTGTATGCAGGGAGAACACTGGCTTCAGCTGAGCCATTAACTGGTAATGCTCTGAAAGTTTTTTGCTGATTGTATTGAGCTCGGTGTTGCTTTTAGCTATTGAGCTAGGAAGCTGAAAGAAACACTTTGGAAAAACAATAACCATTGTGGAGTGGAGAATAGTATCTGGAGAAGAGACAGACAGGGGCTGCTAGAAAGGAAATCAACCTAATGTCCATAACATTAAGCTCTCTGTGAGAAGCTGGTCTTTTGTTGTGTTGGAGAAAGGGTTGTATTTCTTTTGTTCACATTGAACCTATGTAGGTCTACTAAAAATTGCATTTAGGACATAGGATCCCAGTGCATCCTGAGGACTCAGACTGAGGTCTGGGAACATCTAGATACAGGATTTAGCAAGATTTGAAAGGTTGTACTAAGAAACATGGAGATTTAAGGGCGTAGGAAGTTCTGAACTGTAAGAGATACCATGAAGTCTTTGCTGAGAGTTCTGTTGACTGTGTAACTTCGGGGCAGGGGGGGAGGGTGGTGGGAAGGGAAGGGGCTCTTGAGTGTGGGATGTTTCCTCTCTTCAAGAAAACGTTGGTTATACTGGGCAAAGCATAAGATGCTACAGCTCATGTTTATGCCAAGGCTTCAGAAGGCTGCCAGAAAAGAGCAACTAAAAAGCATACCTGAGAAGTCAGGAGGACTAGCACTTATTTGAACAAAGAGCCAGTAGGAGATGCTTTCTTTATACCTTCTGTGTGGTGAATAGTAATCTGTTGTTTTTTCATGTTCTGTCAGACATCGATGGCTTGGGAAGCAGTGCAATTGGTGGCCAATTGATGGCATCTGCTTCAGCTCAATCTCCTCTTTCCCAAAACCGGAAGGCAGATGATTCTGTTGTTGCAGGTATTTAGACTCTATTATAAGCACAAGTGTAGCTACCAGCAGTGGGTTGTTATATACCATAAGCATATCAGATAAATTGTGTTTTAGAACAAAAATTTAAGGGTTGAGGGGCATATGTCAGTACATCCTCCATGTGAATTGGTAGTCCAGCATGAAGAGGATAAATATGACTTGTTTTTTTACCATTGATGATAAAGCTACTGTTGTGTCATTTTCCAGAAGTAGTAGTAGCAATGCATTTCTCACTCCAGGAGTTGCTTTTGCCCGATACCTTTTAATTGGCTGTTGGAAGAACTTGATTGACACTTTGTCCACACCACTGACTGGCCGCATGGCAGGCAGCTCCAAGGGGCTTGCCTTCATCTTGGGAGCAGAAGGAGCCAAGGAGCAGAACCAAAAGGAGAAGGACTCCATCTGCGTGAGCCTGGATGGACTGAGGAGGGCAGCCCGGCTGAGCTGTGCTCTAGGTACTGCTGCATGTAGGATGTCATGGCAGATTCATAAAATAGGATGGTAACTTTCCTTGAAGGAATTTGGGAGAGAGAAAAGCGGCATCCTGTTCCAGTCTTGGATAGGAACCTGGACTGTAGGACTCCCCATAGACCCCACCTGCCCTACAGCATAGACATATCCAGCCAACTTTTCTTGACACAGCCTGTTGTTGAGATTGCATGGGACTGGGGAGGAAATGCTGGTTAAACAGTAATTGTGTTGTTGCTTTACAGGAGTTGCTGCTAACTGTGCATCTGCTCTTGCCCAAATGGCTGCTGCCTCCTGTGTCCAAGAAGAGAAGGAAGAAAAAGAAATCCAAGAGCCCAGTGATACTATAGCTCAAGGTAACTATGTGATTAAATTACCTACCTTATCTCATATTGCTTGCAAAGATGCAACTGGAAGGTACTTTGCTATATGTAGAAGAAAGACAGAGGGGAGTGCCACTACTGTACACCACTCACTTTAAGGCATATGGGATGTGTGTCTAGAGGCTTCAGTACGTGTCCTGCTGTCCTAGGTTCTTAACATTATGTCACACTTTATATTTTATATAGAACTGAAATCAATGGAACAACAGATGAGCCAACAGCATTTTTGAAATGTGCACTTTTTAAGCCTTCTGATACTAGTACAACCAGAGGGCGTCAGAGAAACAATATTCTTTTTAATATGTTGGGTGGTAATATAAGCTGAGTTTGCGTCCCTCTCCCTGCCTTGTGTATATATCCTTGTGCTGTCTTTTGGCATCATCAGATACTTAAAACTGTTTCTGAATCATGTTAAATGAAGCTGGAATAAAAAAATGGTATATGGATAACATGTGAAAAGTTCTGCATCTCTATACCACTCCTTCAAACCCGGTGGAAGGCAGTAAAGTTAATTTTTGTCTCCAATGGCTGTTTGGAGAAGCACATAAAATGTGTCTGATGACATCTGATTTCTAATGGCAAGAAGACCATAACAAAACAGTGTTGCACAAACAGCCCTGCTTGGCACTTAAATTTGATGTCAAGGTAGAGAAAACAAAACTGAATAGGCCTGAGCACAAACTAGCTTCTGACAACTCTGCTAGATATGGCTGAAGCAAGTTGGCCAGGCCATGCTGAAGCAAAGAGGAGGCAGTAGCGGTGGCCAGAGGCCAACAGGTCTGTTCCATGAAAGCTTGCAAAGCTTCAAAATTTGTTTCCATTCCAATGCAGCATGAAAACTAAGCTTTTCAGAGATTCTCAGAAAAAAGAATGAGGTCCAAATGCTTGTAGTTCAGCTCAAGATTAGTTTTGCTTTGACAAGGGTATCCATTAACAAAAGCTCTCTGGTGAAACTTTTATACGGAAATAGATGTGAAATCCGCAAACTTTTTTTTTCCATAGCAAAGGAGATTTTGGTAAAAATAAATAAATATCCACCCATCCAGCTCCAAAAAGAAACATGTAATATCACTGGCAATCTGCATCTGTTCTGTGGGCAGCAAGATGTGAATTTGGGGGTGGAGGGTGTCAATCTGGCATTGATTTTTTTCCTGCATAAAAGATCAATCAAAAGGGATTTTAATTTTAAAACTGCCTTGTGTTTATTAGGAAGAAATGGGTTTCTCTGGTTTGTTTTTTTGTCTAAAATCCATGTTCTGTTATAGCTTTCGGACTGTATACCTTTGCCATCACCTTATATACAAACCAGTGTTTGTTTAAAAGCTGGAGAAGCTAATGTTTTGGGGTTTTTTTCATGCTGCAGTGAAACAGAAAGTGGAGCAGAAACTGGAGCAGATGGGGAAAGTGCAGGGAGTCTGCCTGCACACTGCTCATGTTTTGTGTATGGATGCAGTCCTTAACGTGGGTCTGGAGATGGGAAGCCACAATCAGGACTGTTGGCCTCATGTGTTCAGGTACTCACCAGCTTTCCAAAAAGAAACAGAATTTATACCATGTTGCCTGAAAGTAATGGACTGAAAAAAAGGACTTTACATGCTGTGGGAGTGTTCTGTGTAAGCAGTGTCAGAATGAATTAACTACCAGTATCTGTAAGAGAAAAGACAGTGCTGTTTTCCACTACTATTCAGAGAGAAAATCAGCCCTTAGAAACTCTGAAGTTACCAGAAGACTGTGGTAGACCCAGGAACCTGAAGGGGCTTTTCAGGCACCTCCACTAAACTATTTGCTATCTAGGCACACAGGAGGCCAAAGGATGTGAGAAGACAGGTTATCTATGTGTAGTCTGAGAGTTAGAGAGTCTGTTTACGGTTTGAGGAACATGTCCTGTGCATCGTATCTGGTTCAGATGTAGAAATCGGTGCCTGTGAATTGGCAGCAGGTTTCCATATAAGCTGGCTTCTCACAGTGATGGGGCTGTGAGGCAGCTGAGAGCTGTACTTGCACTATCCTTCTGACTCGCCTCTGGAGTACAGACCCAAGCATTTCTTCAGTGAGCCTGGTGATTAGCTGGGGGGGAGGAGCTGTTGTTTTGGGGGTTTTATTCATCTTTTGCTTCTCTTGTTTGTTCTCAGGGTGTGTGAGTACATCAGCACGCTGGAGCATACCCACTTCAGTGATGGTGCTTCCCAGCCCTCCCTTACCATCACCCAGTCACAGCAGGCATCTGGAGGGCTGCACCCAGACTCTGAGCCTGGGGAGTCTCCCCAGGCACTGACCCCTGAGCCAGAAACCACCCTCAGCAGCAATCCTGTCATTCAGCCAGTTTCTATCCAGGAACTCATCAAGGAGAGCAGTAAGGGCAGAGCTTTTGACTTCCGTGGAGGCAGCCTGCTGTGTGGGACCAGTGCTGCCAAGGCTGTTCTCACACTCTCCACGCAAGCTGACAGGTAAAAGCAGCTCTGTCAGGAACCAAAATCCCTGTTCCCAAAATAGGACCAAAATGGACCTTTCTGTGGTGCAGTGAGGCCTGATCTTTGTCTGTTGCAGCCACTTGCTTCAACGGTGTTTCACAAGAGAGCTGTGTGTGTCACAACCAGCAGTTCCTAAAAGACCTGGTTTTCTGCATCTCTGCAGTACCTGCCCTGCAGGTCGTGGGCTTGAGTATGTCTGTGCACAGCAGTGAATATGCCAAGTAAAACAAATGCATCCTGAGAGGGGTAGATTTATTGCTTGCATTTAAATTAATCTGTTGTGTTCATTAAAGCAGACAAAATAAGTGGGTGTCTTGTCCTGATAGGAAGGGACTAAGTGACAAGACCAGTTCAGTTAGAAAGCAGCTGCTTCTGTCAGGAACGTATGGACAGCTTGACAGCATGCCCCAGTGTGTCTGGAGGAGGAAGGGCCACCCAAGCATGGTCACAGAATGGCTAGGTTACATGTCCCTATACAACATGGTCTGCAGACTGATCTGTCACAGACTTTTTTGCGATTTCTGCTATTCTTTCGGCAGCCCAGGCTAGAGTTGAAAATTTCCTGGTTTTGCATGCTTCTGATACCCTTTTTTCTCCAGCTGACATTTTGCATTATTGATCTCTGCCCATAGGAGGGCATTATTTGTAAACTCAGAGGAAAAATAATGCATACTGACACTGCTTGTAGGCGTTTGACTTTGTGCGTGGAAAGTACCTTTTGTTCAGGAAGATCACAATACAACTTGGTTCCGAGGATTAGAGAATAGCAGTACTGTAATTTTAATGATGCAGGTTTGATTTCTGCACTGTTACTTCAGTGTGGACATTATTAGGACTCAATCCCCAGTTTCCTAGGACTATAGAAAGTTTTTAATGAAAAGCAACGTCAAAAAATCATATTTGTGTCAATTTGTGGCTGCACCATGTGAAATTTCACTGTGATGTCTGTGGAACCCACCTCCTCTGTAAGCATAAGTTTACTGCTTTAAGGGTACAGATTTTAACTCTTAAATCTTAAGAGCCAATTGCAGCTGAAAATAACAACTCTTGTTTATATTCCTAAATAGCAATTCAGGTGCAGCAACTTTAGGTCTAAGACTTGAATTAATTTGTTTTTCATGTAAGGGTTTGTAATTTCAGATGGAGCAAACTGGTGTAACTCTAAAGTCAGTGAAGCTATGATGATCTGTGCTGTGAGGACTGGGCATATTCTCACTGGTTTTTTGATTACTGGTTCATGAACTGCTTATAGCATTAAGATACCGTAATGGGAAGTGTTGATTCCTTGAAAAAGTGACTTTTCTTTTTAGTACTGCAGTTGAATCTTGGAAGGGTTCTGGTTGGTCCTAGAGCACTCTATTTTCTACCCACCAATTAATAAAGCTTCTGGATCAAAGTCTTTCTGTAGCACTGTATAAATGAAAAAGCCCTCAATAACCCAGTGTGTCACCAAAGGCAACACATAGCAGCCATGTACAGATAAGGGTTTTCCTCTTACATACGCTTAAGTCTGCATCTCATGAATTTTTCAATTAGATTCTGTTCTTTTACTCACAGGCTCTTTGAAGATGCTGCTGACAAGTTAAACTTGATGGCATTGGCAGGCTTCCTTTACCAGCTCAAAAAGGCTTCTCAGGCCCAGCTTTTCCATTCAGTCACAGATACAGTTGATTACTCCCTAGCAATGCCAGGTAAATCACCTGAAGATCCTTTACAGAGTTCTTTGTTTCACATATAACTGTACTGCTTTAAGACTTGCTTTGTATTCTTACAGTTTTAATTTTTCCAATTGCAATTTCAAGGCATAAATAAAACACAGTATTTAATCCAGTAAGATCTTTCTGTAGGAGCAATTCAAAGTCTTTAGAAAAGGTTGAGTGCTTTTTTTGGACAGGGACCACACCCACACCTGCTATGAAACACTTCAGAGGACATTCATTTGGTTCTTGGACTTTGGGGGTGTTAATTATCCACAGATATTTAATCACAGTTCCATTTTGGAGCCCAGAATAAGGAGTAAGGAAATCTGGGTGAACCCTAAACCTAAGACAGTGGATTTAGGTTAGACTTTTGACCGTGGGATAACCTCCAAAGTGTTCAGAAAATGGGTGATAGCAAACAAAGCACACAAATGCAGAATGTTAAAAAGAGTGGTGGGATTTGTCCCACTTGCTCTTCCCCAGCAGAGTGGAGCATATACCTTACAGTACATAGCCTGTAAATTGTCATTTCCATCACTGTCTCAAATAGAGCAGAAGGATTGGACCCAAAGGAAGATATTTCACTTGAATTTGTACCGTGCCTTTAGAAGTTACATTAGTCATACGGGCTTTGTTCTGTCCTGTGGTAGGCGTGGATTTTATCTGGTATATGTCTCCAATTTAATTGGTTTCCCCTCTCCCTGAAGTGCTACTTGTCATTTTCTCAATGTGACACTTCAAGATGTTCATTTTCTGCACTTGCTTGTCTCCAGGCCTTAACATTCATCACTTTATTTTTAACAAATAGTGATCCTCTTATCATGTATGTAGTAGTTAATCAACAGTAGTTAGTAATAATGAAATTAAAATTAGGATAGAGCAATCAATATTTTTTTTTTTTAAATAAAAGTAGTATGCCCCCTGATTATGTCTTTTGTTAGAGATAAAAGCACCAGCATATTTTAAATGAGGAATGAAGTGTCTTTCCAAATGTTGTAAGAGCAACAGAAGATTAATCCCTTTCAATAGGAAATAGCAAGTATTACTGGCTGGGGAACAGAAAAGTATTTTCTCACATTCTCTGCTTTGTATCCTTTGCTTGATAAGAAATGCATGAGGACAAACCAAAGCTAAATAATTTGCAGTTTATATTCTTTCCTGTAGATGTCACCAAAGGTTTTTGCAACTACTATTTTGGGTCTTAATACCAATTATTTAACTCCTTGCTTAACTTCTCTGCACTACTTTTCCAAGTCTTTGTCTTAAAATGTTTGCAAAACAAATGATCACTCTAAATCAAAATAAAGTGTATTTAATAAGTTGTTATTAAAACTTGGGTCCATCTCCCATTCTTTTACCTACACAGGCATAGGCTGTGTTTTACATTGAATTTTTTTTTTCTTTTTCCTTTTTTTTTCCTCCACCACTCTCCCTGCTCCCCCTCCCCCCCCCGACATAATACTAATAATTTCTAACCTGATTTAAATTCCAATATAGACATCTAGAGATGGAGGACCTGCTGTTGCTTAGTTTCCATTTATTTTCTTATACTTTCTTGTAGGTGAAGTAAAATCTACCCAGGACAGGAGAAGTGCACTTCACTTGTTCCGACTTGGTGATGCCATGCTCAGAATTGTAAGGAGTAAATCTCGTCCGTTGCTCCACCTCATGCGCTGCTGGAGCCTGGTGGCACCTCACCTTGTAGAGGTAGGAGTTGGGGAGAAAATGGGAATGTGTGCAAGAGATGGCAAATCTGAAAAAGATGGAGAAGGCTTAATAGTTCTTCAAATGTATATCAACCCTCAACATTGTCAAATCTGGTTACACTCCTGTTGGGGTATTGAATATACTGTGTTGTATATTGTGATACTGCCACTGAGGAGCGCACTTTTAAATAACTGAAATGGGCAGGTCCAGGAACAGTGTGTTGGATTTTTGGAATATGATACTCCCGCTGTGTCTGTGGTGAAAAAACTGAAACCACCCTAAGAGGTTACTTGTAGCTCCTCCATCTACCTATTTTCCTAGTCAAGGTCTGCACCCTTGCAAGTCTTCCCATGAAAGGATGCAGGCTTTCTTTTTCCAAATAAAGCCAGCTCAACTGGGAAGATGGTGGCATTTTTTCCTTTCCTTCTCCTTTCTTGCGAACCCTGGTCAGTGGCATGCCAGTAGCAGCCACAGAATGGATTTTAGTCATAACAGATGACCTTTCCTCAGCCAAACTTTCAGTCCTAACTAGCAAAATGCTGTGTCTTGACTTCTCGGAGCTTTTTGATTTGTATCATTGGTATGAATAAACGTGCAGTACTTCCTTTCTTTCTCTTGTGAGGTATGTGGTGTCATCTGCCTAGGTCTATTGGGAGCATGCTTCTCTGGAGTTTTAAGATCAGCTGTTCAGTAAATTGCCATAGCGTTTCATTTCATTGACTCAAGAAAATGTGTGGACTATCGTACAGCAGAGTTCAGACATTGGGGAGTCTCAGTGGAATCCCTCTAAGTGAAGTAGATATAGCAGAGAATAGTTTTGTTGTATGCTTTAACAGCCCTTTATCTTGAAAGCTAGTGTCTCACTTGCCTTTGGATGCCAGCCTGAGACCTCTTTAAATATTTTTCGTGTTTTGAACACTTCTACGTCTTTTAAGATCCCAAGCCAGTTTAAACTCAAGTACCTTCCATGTTTTTAGAAAACATGTTTTCCATGTTTAGTCTTTTTGGTTGACTTCAGTGCAGATGAGGGCATTACTGGGAAGGAGCAACGTCAGGGAAAGGACAGAATTTAGCATGACCTACATAGTTGCTCAGAACAGTAACTTTATATCCAGATTCACTGGTGTTTAATTTTTTAATAGCTCTTCCAAAAGTGATGAGAACCTTCTCACTTTAAGTTCCATATATAGCCAAATAAAAAGTGACATTTCGTCATGCATAGATAGGTATGGTGAATATATGCAGAAACTACCTTTTTGAAGAGAAAAATGGTCACGTGGTAGAAACAAAAGACAACATTTCACACAAGTTCTGTTCTGTGGGTTTTAATATTTAATTTATTTATTTTTAGCTTTGTGCTTCTTGAATTGTCAGCAAACCTTCATGCATCTGTGGGACACCAAGCAGCTTAGAGTCTCAGTCATCTGTTTCCGTGGCAGTACTCTCCCATTTTCATTGCAGTGGGGTACCTAGACGTGTTAGTGGTGAAGCTGGTTTTAGGGTTCAGCAGCATGAAGTGCTTACCTCCCTTAAAAGCATCTCACTAAAAGCAAAATTTTGCTTGGACAAACTCTAATACTCCTCCTTTCCCTGCAGGCTGCCTGTCATAAGGAGAGACATGTGTCTCGGAAGGCTGTCTCCTTCATCCATGACATCCTCACTGAAGTGCTGACAGACTGGAATGAGCCTTCTCATTTTCACTTTAATGAGGCACTTTTCCGCCCCTTCGAGCGCATCATGCAGCTAGAGCTGTGTGATGAGGATGTCCAAGACCAGGCAAGTCAGCCCTGATCAGGGTGTCTACATCTGGCCTGCCATGCCCATAAGAAGGATGGTCTCCAGAGTGCACTTGGTCCACTTGAGAGTGTTTCCCAAATTCCCTTCAAATGGTGCCCCTTAATCATCTTCAAGGAATCAGGAGGGCTGTGCCTACCTAAGCCAGCATTGTCGTAGAGCACAGAGACAGTACACCTGGCTTTAAAGCAATTAAATAAAACTTTTCTGTTATCTAGAAAAAAAAAATAATACATTAGTCTAGACTGGCATAGTGAAATCTAGGAATGTGTTTAAAGCCATCCTTGTTCTTTCTGAAGGTCCATCTATGTATAAGTTCTGGGTTTTTGTTTTATCCTTTTAACCTCTCCTACACTGTCTGCAGGTGGTCACCTCTATAGGAGAGTTGGTGGAAATGTGTTCTACCCAGATCCAGTCAGGATGGAGACCCTTGTTCAGTGCCCTGGAAACAGTGCACAGCAGCAGCAAGTCAGAGGTTAAAGAGTACCTTGTAGGAGAATACTCTATGGGTAAGGACTTACTGCACTGACTGTTTCATAAATGCTTTTGTTTCTCTGTCTTATTCCTTGGAGACACAATAACTACCTTAATATATTTAAATGCCCTACCTGAACAGTGGCACTTAGCAAAGTGACACTGCAATACTCCAGGACTGTACGGAAGTACCTGGTTTATTAGTTGGGGTGGGAGGGAAAGCAGAGGTATTGTTCTGACTTTTTATCTTCTAGTTCTGTCAGGTGAGTAGAATGAGAAAGAAATGTTTCAAACCTACTTGAATATTTTTGAGCAAAACAGTAGTGCAGGAGTACTGAGCTTGGCTGGGCTCTTGTCACTGTCCTGCTAGAGAAGGAAGAGCATACTGTATACAACCACCATGTCTCATGTGGGCTGTCTTTCTTACTATGTGAAACATACTGCTCTTATACATCAGGGTAAGTTAGTGTGATAATCTAGGCAAGTGCTTGTCAAGGCACTTAATCACAAGGCTTCAAATTGCTAGCACTATTACAAACTGTGTTTGCTGTAAGAATGATTCTGCATCCCTCCCAGAGAAGTTTGCTTGTATCGAAACAGGGTAATATGGGAAAATCACTTTAATCTGTTCTTTTGCCCCATTAGAAGGTATTTTTAAATGTTACAAGTCATGTGTAAGTGATATGGTTTTCCTCCTAAATTTTGTCTTTCAGATCTGTTATGATCAATCACAAAATGCAAGTGTATACAGCTTTTGAAGAGTGTTAATCTACTTAGGAAAAACAAGCCTATTTTGTTTCTGTATAGTCTGAATAGTTTTCCACATGACTGCTGTCATATTGGCAGTTACTAAGAACTAAACCAGAAACCTCCACTAAACAGAAGTGTTAGCTACTGAGCTGGGTTCAAGAGCTCAAACCTGCTCTTACCATTTGGGCAGGCATAAGCTGATATTTTTCCTAGATAAGGCAAAGGATGGAGTCTGTATTACTTCCTATGAAGGGCTACACGAGTTGCCTCAGGAGCAAGAGAAAGTTTTACTTTGAAGATCATTTCTGTCTCTGCCCAGAATAGAAGAGATTCTACAGATTCAGTTAAATTGTTGAAAAACTGTTGGAAAATCACCTTTATGGGGGATAGGGAAGAGTTCTCATCTTGTTATTTCCACAGGGAAACGCCAGGCTCCGGTGTTTGATGTCTTTGAAGCATTTCTAAACACAGACAGCATCCAGGTCTTTGCCAATGCTGCCACCAGTTATATTATGTGCCTTATGAAGTTTGTCAAAGGACTGGGTAAATATTTTTATTTTCCTTTTATCCTATTAAGTCATGGTATGTCAAACTTGATCCTGCAGAGGAGGAGAATTCAGTTATGTAATACATAGTATAGTAGGGAAGAGAGAGGCAGTAAAGAAATGGAGTCCAGAATACTTTAAAAAAATAAAATCAAGATGAAGGGATTATTTCAGAAACATTTAAGTATCTGCTTAATTTGATCTTACTTTGCATTAGGGCTGGCTTATATTCATTTAATAATTAAAAAAAAACAACCAACCAAACAAAAAAACCCAAAAAACAGAATATCGCAGAAATGGCCTGGCACTGTGTAGTGACAGCATGGATTGTTTGCATCAGAACAGGGTATGTTTTACATTCAGCGATCAAAGCCACATAGCTCCTTTCTACCCTTGCCCACCTCAACAGCAGTAGTTTGGCATATGTGGTGCTGAAAACCTGCT